CTCTACAAGAAGACAGGACCATGTTTTGATCACAGGTCCTGAGTGACCAGGCATCTTCTTTCCAGCCCTGGGGGCCCGGGATATCTGCACAGATTGAGGTTTGCTAAGGGGCTATTGATAAAATGTATATAGCTTGTTTTTTGTTTTTAAGGAAAAGTTGATGTGAAATTGAAAGGAGTGGAGGAGAATCATGGCTTCCTCTAGCTCCTGTGTGAAGAAGGACCCATCTCTGCCCCAGCACTTTTCTGAGGGCTATTCCTCAGGGAGCAGGGGCCTATTAGGCCTGCTCCAATGACTTCTGGGGATCAGAGGTCCAGGGCCTTTGGCCAGCTTGCCCCGGGCCATGCACAACGGTAGGTGAGAGAACCCGAGGCTTCTGACATCCAGACTGGTGCCCCTCATGCTCATGCACATGTCTAGCCTTGAAACCCAGCAAGCACCCTCTGAGGGCCTTCCAGAGGCCAAGGTCGTCAGAGCGTCCAATGCCTTCCTATGTCTTAGGGTTCAAGTAAGGGAGAAGATTTTGCACATGAGCAAGTTGTCAAGCAGAGGATAATCAATTCACCAAAGTCACAGCTGGGAAATGGACCATCTCCAAAGGCCCAGGCACTTTCCACAACTCAGAACCGACACGGAATGGGTGGCTGAGTTTAAGGTTCATGGATCCCCTCACCTTTTGTGGTTCTTTTATCAAGAGTCATGAGTCTGTGGGTGGGGCCCGGAGTGGTCAGGCTGCCCCCATGGTTTGACGGTCAGAGCCTTGCATGAAGACGCTGAAATCGAGCTAGCAGTCACTGAGTTATATGCCCTGGCAACAAGGACGCTGTGTCCACGGGAAGAGGAAATAGCAAATAGTCTTCATCTTCTAGGTCAGCTCCACCCTTCATGGTGACACAGAGTGCTGTGTTGAGAAGGAATCTGCAGTCATGTCTGGGGAAGAGTTCTGCACTCAGTGATTTCTGTCCTGGGTGGGGGGATGGGGCAGTGGCGTATGCAGGGAGAGTCTTTGCCATTTTGCTATCACTGCTGTAAACCGACACCTTCTGTGTCAACACACAGTCCAAAGGAACCCAATGCCTAGCCCTGGCCCAGAGGAGAGACAACACTCAGCCTTCCCAGGGTGCACTTTGCTGTTTATTGCTGAGGCATGGAGTGTGGGCAGGTTCAAGAGGGCTAAGGGTTCCAAGTCACCATGCTATATGCTTTAGAGAAATAAGCAGCATCAACTAGCACAGGATCGTGAAGACCCCTCTTCTTCCTCTGCTCATGTCTGGTTGCCTTTCAAGCTCAAACTGAGGCTGATTCCCCCATGGAGACCTCTGCTTGCTCTTCTTTCCAAAGTTCCTCTTGCTTCTCTGAGCTCAAAGCTCTTGGTTTGAAACTTCCCCCAAACATCTATCAGACTGTTGTCTGGGGAACTTTAGGGACAGACACTCCCCTCCACGCACCCTTTTCCTCTCAACCACCACTCCAGATAAATTGAGTATTTCCCCTTTTTCAATTATTAATACCACGCTTCTCTTTTGAATGACGGCTTATTCAGAGTTAGCAAAGCACCGTGCTCCTGTTCATATCCTCACTTGACCACCTCAGTCAGTAATTGAGAAAATGGAGGTTTAAAAAGAGATGGCAGAGACTTGCCCAAGGCCACTTGGCCAGGTCTCTGTTTTCCAAGTCCAGTCTTTTCTCCATTGTCCCATTCTGGACACCATGAGGTAGACCAAGTACCAGAAAGGGAAGGGGACAGGGACCTAAGTAAGCCTCACCTGGGATTCCCTCCTACCTCCGTTTCTGGGACCAGAGCTGCCACACCAGTAGACTGCCAGATGAGGACCAATGAGAGGGGAATGAGGATGTGGAGTGGATTAGGAAAAGGTGGCTTAGCCATCAGGCTTCCAGGGTGAGCTTGGGCAAGTTGCTTTCCTTCTCTGGGCCATGAGGCATCCTCCTCTCTGAAGCGAAGGCTTCGGCTAGGACCTCTGACATTTAAATGCAAGGCGTCTTGATGGGTACATGACGGGGTGAGGGGAGGCACAGAGTTTGGGCCTGGGTGGGTCTTTTTTTTTTTTTTTTGGATGGGTCTTTTGAGCCTGGTACCCAGGCCCCTGATACCCATCTGGCCCTCCGCACCCATCACCTCCCATCCCACAGGAGGTGCTGTTTCAGGGACTCTTTGGGGACGGGCTGAGGGGCTGACCTCAGGGCAACCAGCTGCTACTCAGGCAAACTGCCTGTCAGTTGTTCACATTTATTGATTACTCATTGGGTACAGAGCTCATGTGTTGGGCAGGTGTGCTGTGGGCAAGAGGAGGAAGCAAAGTGCAAAACCAAAGGAGCCATTCAGGCTTCAAAGGGGAGCAAAATCAGGCCACCCCTCCCACCCTCCAACCAGCCCTCCACCTAGCAAACATTTGGAGATCATCTACTTTCTATGCAGCAGGCCCTGTGTGGGAACTATGGGGCAGGGGTGGGGGTGGGGAGGGGGAAAAATGGGCAGAGACCACCAGCATGGTTGCCACATATGACAAGCACCCTCACAGCAGCCAATCATTGAAGAACAGGGAACCCCAGAGCAGATGTCTCTCTGGGCAGGTGACAGACTCAGATTTTCAGGCTGAGAACCATGACAGAAAGGTTTTGAGTAGCTAGCCCTTCTCCATAAGGTTCACTGCTTCCTGTTTATTGCTTTAGCCTTGGTGGTACCTGCCTGGCCCGTGAAGCAATGTGAATGTGCCACCCACACTGGGGAAAAATACCAGCACTGCTACGTAACAGGACTCCCTTCACCCAGAAGGAGAGTGGGGGGCAGAGACAGAGAGCTCTGGGCTGGGCCTGGGTGCCGCAGGGTCTCCTCTGTGCTCCCCGACTGCCTGCTTGTGCAGTTGGAAGATGTGCCCTCTGTGAACAACAGTTTTCTCTAAAATGTCCAGGGAAAGTCTAAGTTGGTGGTTTAAATACTATTCCTCCTCCTCCCATCCTGGAACCTTAAAGATAGTAGTGGAGTCCCGGAGATGACTCCAAATATTTCCAGGAGTTATTACATGTATTTCTAACAAATGTATATCTTCTGTTTAAACCAATAGATTGAACACTGATTTAAAATGTAAAGGGATAGGTCTCTGAAAAATAAACATACATTAAAATATACCTGACATACGTACTATCATTTGTATTAATAATCACAGATCGTTTGATAGACAAAATCTTTGACATCATCGAATGATCTGAGACAAAAACATTGAAGGGGTTCTTCGTGACATGGTGGGCAAGGGGGACACATTCCTGAAGGTCATTCAGGTCCAAGCACCCACAGATGCTGTCTGTGCAGATAGTGGGAGAAATCCTCGTGGAGGGGGTGGTGGAGAGCTGACTTTTATGGAATGTCTTCTGCTTACCAAACTCAAACTTGTCAGCTCGTAAACATCCCCAGAGGGACGGTGACCATCCCCATTTTACAGAGGATAAAATAGGCTCGTTCGCAGAGGTTAGGCGCCATGGGGAGGTCACTGAGCTGGAAGGTAGCCAACCTGGCACTTGAACGTCTGGAGGAATGGCTCCAGAGCCAGGGGTGAGGTGAGAGAGGTGACTAGGTCCCCTCCAGACGCCTTGCCTCCAATTCCCTGGCGATGGCGTAGCGCAGGCTCTGGATGACTACCCCAGACTGAGAGGGTGAAGGCCCTGGGCTTCGGGGTGTGTTAGGCGGAGGACGGGACGGGGGCGAAGGTTCCCCCCAGGCATACTTGGAGTAGCTGGGTCGTCCTGGAAGATGGGTGACAGTCGTCTTCCCGAGCTCCCCCAGTCCCATCTGGGGTCTTGGCGGCCCGCGGAGGCACCGGGTTGGGCTGGGGCCAGGGGTCTGGGCGGAGGAAAAGGCCGTCGCAGAGCAGAAATAGGAGAAGGGAGAGGGGGAGGGGGGAAGGCGAGGGAAGGAGGCGGGGAGTCCTTCCTGGGGCAGGAACCCGGGCCCCCCTTGGCGGAGCCGGCCCGCAAAGCGATTCCGCAGATGGAAGGAATTAAGTGGGAGGGGGAGGGTCCTACGGTGATAGCGGAGGACGGAGGGAGGGAGGCGCGCGCGCGCGCGCGCGCGCGTGTGTGTGTATGCGCGCGCGCCCGCGTGTGTCTGGGAGGGGAGAGGGAGAGACAGAGAAACATATCAGACTAGACGGAAATAGAAAAGACGACACACACACACACACGCGCGCGCGCGCACGCGCGCGCACTTAGACAGAACCACAGAAAAAGACGACGAGCCGGACAGAGACAGGGACACAGGAGATACTAATCTGAAAGAGAGCGGAGAGAAAATGAGAAAAGAAGAAAAATAGGGCAAGAAAAACGAGTGAAAATGAAATAATTGCAGAGGATTTAGAAGAACGAGAGACAGAAGAGCGCCAAGCATAGCGAGAGCAGATTGATTAGGTCGGGGTAGTCCTGAGCTCCAGCAGGCTCCGGGAGCGGGGGGGGGGGGCGGGGGGGGGGGGGGGGGGGGCCGGGGAGGGGCCCGCCCATGGGCGGGCCAGCAGAATGCTGCAAACACAGATGAGCCGTAATTCCCCGGCTGGCCCCGCCCCGCTACTGCTCCATATTCAATGAGACAGCCAATGGAGGGCAAGGACGGTGGATAAGGGGCGGGGCCTCTCTGGACCCCGCCCCGGGAGCGGCTGCCGAAGGGGTCAGCAATGAGGCAGATAGCGGATCGCGGGGCGGGGCGGGGCGGGCGGCGCGGAGGGGGCGGGCCCAAAAGTTTCCTGCCCAACTTTCGCTGCCTCCTTCCTCCGCCCGCGCGCGCTGCGGCTGCAGTCGGGGGGAGGCGGCGGCGGCGGCGGCGGCAGCGGCGGCGGCGGCGGCTGCGGGCGGAGCGCAGGGCGCACGGCACTGGGCGATCGCCGTCGGGGCTCGGGCGGTGGGCAGCGGGCTCAGGCTCCCCGGTGCCCGCCCCTCCGCTGCGGGGGGGGGGCGCAAGCGGGTGGCCGGGGAGGGGCCGGCACCGCCGCCGCAAAATGAGCCTGCTGTCGGCCATCGACACGAGCGCCGCTTCGGTGTACCAGCCCGCCCAGCTGCTCAACTGGGTCTACCTGTCGCTTCAGGACACGCACCAGGCGAGCGCCTTTGATGCTTTTCGGCCCGAACCGCCCGCCGGCGCCGCGCCCCCAGAGCTGGCCTTCGGGAAGGGCCGCCCGGAGCAGCTGGGCTCGCCCCTGCACTCCAGCTATCTCAACAGCTTCTTCCAGCTGCAGCGCGGAGAGGTGGGTGCCCCCGCGCGCCCCCGCCCTCCGTCTACCGCGCCGGGCCTTTTCCAATCGGCCCCGCTCTTCCTGGCCTGGCCCGGCCCGGCTCCGTATTGCCCGGCCCTGCTTGGCTTGGCTTCGCTTTGCTCTGCCAAACTCGCCGCCCGATGTCCCCGGGGCGCCGGGAGCGCGTCACCTCCCGGCTGAGCCCGGCTCGCAGCAGCTCGGGCGCGGGCGGGGCACTCTTGCTCCCTCTCCCAGCCCGGGGCGCCCTGCTCTAAGGGGACTGGGGGAGCCCCGGCTGGGCGGGGGGCTCCGGATTCTCTCCAGACGGCCCGGGCGCGGCCAGGGCGGAGAGCCCCTTCCAAGTGTCCTTCCCACGCCCAACCCCATCCCCCTCTTGGCCACCGCTCACTGGGACCGGGAGTGCAGATTCTGCTCAGAGCTCCTCCGCAGGGGCCTAAAATCTTTTCTCCTCCGACCTCGGTGGTGGCCGACCCGAAGGGCACCCTGGAGAGCAGGGTTTTTCCTGCTCTTCTTACACAGGGACCCCCAGATACATCCTCCAGCTGCTTGCCCTCCCCCAGCCACATAGGAAGTGGTTTGTGAGGGCTTGACCCCACAGACTGCGCTGTCCCCCGCCCTCCCAGCCTGGAAGGAAATGAAAGGGAAATCCTCTTGAGCTCTTGGGAGGGGGGCTAGCCAGGGGGAGAGGTTTCAGCTGCCCAGTGCCTTCTCCAGAAACCTGGGCTGGCTGCTTTGCAAAGTCCGCCTGTTGGGTGGATTCGGTTACAAAGTGGAAGGGGCAGAGCCGTCTTCCCCAGCCAGATAAATACACAGATTGCCAGGACCTCCCAGCCCCTTTTCAGAGGTCTTCTCCAGAGCTTTCCTAGATACCACTCCTCTCTGCTTTGAGCTGGACTCCTCCTCTCCCTCCCCTCCCATTTACTCCTGCCTCTTTTGGGAATGGCAGATACCCTTCTGTGGCCTTCACTCATCCATCTTCTGGCAGCTCTCCCTGCAAAAGTGCAGGGGGAAGGAGTGGAGGAGAGGACACACTTGAGGGTTCCTTTTCCTTCTGGACCTGAGCACAGCATTTAGTTTTAGGAGAGTCAGAGTCCTGAATGGGTCAGGGAGAAGGGCCTGTGAATGTGTGAGTGTGCTAGGGACGAGATGGGGAAGGCAGAGGGTCTCCCTTTCTGGTCCCATAATGTGTTCAGCTCTGCCAGTACTGACGAGGAGGGGGCATGGACATATAAAACACTGGCCTGAGGCCAGTACCGGGCGAGCTGAGGGAAGGATTGGTTGACCTTTGTTGGGCTGGTTGGGCATAGTGCAGGGAGATGGGTCTGGAGAGCCACCACTTGGTGCCAGGCGAAAGCATTTGTCTACCAAAGCTCTTTGTAAACTGTAAAGCACTCTCTCCATGGGAGGAATTATTCTTGGCTGGGAATCCTTCTCTCTTATAAGAGACCTTGCCACCTCTTCAGGGAATTGATTGCAGTGACCAGTGACTTTGGAGTACAGGTTCTGGGTGTTTCCTCCCTGCCGGGGTCTTTTTAGTCGTTATCTTACCAAACATTTGTTGAGTTCCATGTGGACCCTTGGGGAAGCAGGGACAGGCCAATGGGGGCCCTGGATGAGAAGATAGACAAGATGATACAATGTGAGTGGTAGGTAATTTCACAAGGGTGCTGTGGGAATCCCAAGGGAGGACAGTGACCATGACCCACGTGACCGTGAACTCTTACCCTTCACAGGTCAAGTGGGGGGTCCATAATCATCAGCCTCTACTAGCCTTTCCGAGCTCCTACCTGATGGTGGTCTTCTTCCCCAAATGCGGGTCCCTGCTGAGAGGCCTGGGAGTTTGGGGCCACCCAGGGTCTTCTGTAGGAGTAAGATGTGGTGCCTTCTCTTGGAAATGTCTAACATCCAGGATCCCAGCTGGACCTTAGTGAAACTTGTCTCTGGTCACTTTACTGCTGCTCACCCCAGTTTCCCTGTGAAGAGGTACATTCCTTCTCTGGGACCAGTGTAAATGGAGATGGTAAAAGTTATGCAGAGCAATGGTAGAAAAAAGTCTTTTATGACCTGACTTTGGGGGAATACCCTGTCTCTGTCTGGACCTCAGTTTACGCATCTGTTGAATTTAGTCTCTGCTGCCCCTTAGGGTGGTATGTATGGGATTTGAGAGATACGTACGCAAGCAGACAGGCTGAGTTGGGGGAGGTAAGAGGGGCTTCTCCTACGCTTGCAGGCCAGTGGCTTCCTTGGGGGGCTGGAGGGCTGTGCCGGCTAACTTCCGGAAGGCTTTCTTGGCTTTAGACTCACTTGCTCTCACCCCTCACCCGCTTCGTCTCCTAAACCCTCTTGGAGCCCCAGCTGTGCTCCTGGGCTTTCCTGCGTCCAGGGCTTAGCCAGTGACCTAATATGGCTCCAAAATAGCAACTGGCTGAGAAGGCATGAAAAAATACCCCCCACCTGAATGCCACCAAGGGGCTGGTTGGAGAAGAAGCAAATCATGTGTGGGCCGGAGGGGACTCTGCGAAGGGACCCAGGGACTCAGGAGCATCGCCATTCTGTGCAAGGCCTGGCAGGCCTGGTGGCAGTGCCTGCGGATGTGACTTGCATGCTGACCGCTGACCATGGCCTGTCTGCACTGGTCCCTGTGCCAAGAGCCCACCCCCTCCTGCACCACCCCCAGGGCTGCTCCCACCACAATAGCAAAACACCATGAATGCAGCTGGGATTTGGGCGGGGGGGTTGAGGACATGGGGGCACAGAAGCCCATTGTGCCCCTGGAACCTCAGCTCTGGAAGCTGAAGATAAGCCAAGGGTTCTGAGCGGAACACTGGCCCCGGGAGCTGAGAGAGATGGCAGAGTCCGTGTACGAGGGCAGGAGCGAGCACCAGGAGGTGTCTTGGATGCTGGTGGGGGCTCTTCGGCATCTCAGCTTGTGGTAAGGGTGCCAGGCCAAAGCAGGCACAGACAGTGTGCAGTTTTTTAAAAAGGCCTCGGTCTAGAATATGGGCCCTGTGAGCTTCAGTTTCAGCCCCTGGCCTGTGGCAACAACTATATGTCTTTGTAGAGAGACTCCTGGGGCTCTTGGCTGAGCCCCTCCTCTCTCCCCTTAGGTACCCAAGGAAGGCCGTTCTTAGAGGGAGTGGGGGTTGGGGTGGCTTGGGGGGGAGGTCTTCCCTGCCAAGTTTAGCTTGGAATTTAAATTCGCAGTGGCATGGGGGCTGTGGGACTCTACCTCCAGAGAAGGAGATGTACCCCTCATTGTTGAGCATTAGCTCTCGGGCCCCTCAGAGGGACGCCTGCGCCCCTACTCCCTCAAGGGGAGCTATGGCTGTCCCGTTCCAGGTCAGAGTCTGAGGGGGGCTGTTATCTTTCCCTCTTCCTCCACGGATAGACAGACATGGCCCTACAGTCAAATGATGGTTTGTGGAGGCCGGGGGATGGGCTTTGGGGTCAAATATGTCTGGAAAGCCGAAGACTGTCCTCCCCTTGGAGACACACAATGCTCCCCCCCACCCCCCTGCCCAGCACTGTGAAGGCTCTGAGAAGCCCTGCAGCATGGAAACTTATTTACCTTTCTTCAGCCCTGCACTTCCATCAGTATTTGACTGGACAATGTTTTTGGCATAGAACATTTGACAGTGTTCTTCTGAACATCACTAGGCCCAGGGACGGCTCCGTTGAGGCACATCTCTTCCAACCCTTAGGACGTTCTTCCAGGAGCTGTTGACCCAAGCCCTCTCCCCAGCGCAATCAGCTGCAGCACTGAAGACCCCCTCTTCGCAGCCCTGGTCTGTCCACGGGAGGCTCGAGAACAGCAGGAGGGGTGTCACAAGGCTTTCTGCAGACAGGGCTTTTAGACACTCCAGGAGCCACCAAGGTGTCCTGTTTAAAAGGCCCCCAGGTCTTGACAGTCTTGTGAAGGTTTTGTGTGTCACCTGTGCCGTCCACAGGTGTGGGTGAGTCCAGGCTGCCTGACCAGTGTGGATGTGTGAACAGAGCCACATGTCTGTGTGAGAATGGAGGTTTGCCTCAGTGGGGCTGAGAGTGGGCTTCTGGGGCTGGAGTTCGTTCCTAGCAACTTTTGTGGTCTGTGTGGTTGGCGGGGAGGGAGCAGCGCCCGGTCCTAGGAGGAATGGGCCTTCCGGCCCAGCAGAGCTTGGGAGGCTGCCTGGCTCCCTTGGCCAACCCTCGGAAGCTGAGCTCTGACTCAGGCAAGGAGGACCGTCATTTGAGGGCCTGCAGGCTGAGGTGGCCTGATCCTCCCTCCATCAAATTGAGTTGAGTGGGCAGGCCTGGACTCAGGGGGGAGACCACACCTTATGGACCTTCTGAGTCAGGTGGGAGGGAGGAAAGCAGGCAGGATTAGTGATTTGTAATTAGCCAGGCTCTGTCAGCACGCAGAGGGGCTCCTCGCAGAGAAGATGGCCCCGAGTCACAGTCCCCTACTCTTGGGTGGTGCTTTCTTCTTGCCATCTCTTTCTTCAGAGCCCCCATTTTACAGAAGAGAAAAGAGGCCTGGCAAGTGACCCTCAGAGAGTCAGTGGCAGAGCCACATCTGGAACTCTTCCAGATTCCAGCTACAATTGGCTCTGTGGCTCATGGTGCTGGCTGTCCCCTGATCATTCTCGGGGCCCCAGTGCAGGGCAGGCAGTCACCAGGGACTGCAGTCCTCTGCTGTGTTGTCTCTGGCCTCAGACCTTTTGAGGAGTGGTAGGCATTGGTGCATTGGTCACAGGGCCCAGCTCTCCTGCTGTGTCCGTACCTCAGTGGTACCCACGGCTCCAGCCCCTCCCCAGGAACCTGGCGTGGGGCTCCAGGGGATGGAAGTCCAAGGATGGCCTGGCTTGAGAGTCAGAGGATGGCCGTGAGCATTTACTAGATTTTTATCTCATGTCATAGTCTGTGTGCAGCGTCCCCATTGTCCAGGTGGGGAAACTAAGGCTCTTCAAAAGGAGGGTGACATAGTCAGGGCATCAGTGGCAGGACCTTGGTCT